AAGCCAGGTGGAATCCCTAAGAGTAGTGTGTGAAACAAAAAAAATTGACAACATTTTTTTTTTTTAAATCAGTGGGCCTATTCCATGGGCCTGGGCCTGGAGCTGCAGCTCCATCAGCCCCTATGTTGATCCGGCCCTGCGCGTGGCGATCGGGGGTTAATTTTAACGTGTGACGCTTTCCCCTGAGTGACGGACCTTGTCACTCGTCGTTAAGGGGTTAATATCCATTTTTGTTTCTCTTTTACTATCTTGAACAGACATTTCATGATCTTCAAAAAATTAAATCAATATTTTTCCCACAAGTTGCTCTTTTCTAAAAAAGTGACATTGTGATATTTAGCAGCAAACACACAGTATTAGAGAAAAGAAAAATTTAGAATGTGAAAAGTGGTCTGTGCATACAAACAGGCGCTAAAAAATAAAAAGATATTTGAAATGCAGATCTATCAGCTGCTTCAACACTGTTGTGGAGATCTCTACAATCCACCAAAAATTCAAGTATTGTACAGATAAAGGGATTTAAAGGGAAACATCCAACATTAATCCCTTAAGTGGAGCTCTGTAAATAAACACTCACCCTTAATATATCAGTATCAGTAAGTCCAATATAGGTATATAAAAAAAAGGGAGAGAAAAAAAATCTAATAGTGAAGTATACTGAGTACTGTGTGACATACAGAAATAAAAAAAATAAAAAACTCACAAGGGCATTACACGTTAAATTTTCTTTTACCAGATGGGTTAACCCCTTAAGACCAGAGGGCGTACTATTAAGCCCTATTCTAAGCGGCTCTAAACGCCACCGGGCGTAATAGTACGCCCTCCGGTCTTTTCCTACTTACCCGGTAATTAACAATAATTATATATATATATATTAATATCAAATTACACGTAGATTGATACTGATTAAATATATATATATAATTATTGTTATATAGATATATATATATTTATATATAATATAAAAAATAAATATGTAAATACGTTAAAAAATAAAATTAAAAAAATAATTAAAAATAAATAATTAAAAAATATATAGATGTGTGTTATTTCGTTCTAACTGTATTGTGAAATTAATATATATATATATATCAAAATACACGTAGAACGAAATAATATATATCTATATACATAAATATATACGTATATATCACTATATATATACCTATATATAAATAAAAATATTTTAAAAAAATTATATAGATCTATACATATATATACACATACGTATATATATATATACATGTATTAATTCTACATATATATTTATGTAATATTTTTACATAATTGGGTATTTTAATTAATTATACTTAGCGGGACCTGCCTGACAACCCATGCCAAAAGTAAAGGGAATTTAATTTGCTAGCACTATATTTAACCCTATAACTTTCCAAGACACCATAAAACCTGTACATGGGGGAACTGTGCTACTCGGGAGACTTCGATGAACACAAATATTAGTGTTTCAAAACAGTAAAATGTATTACAACGATGATATCGCCAGTAAAAGTGACGTTTTTTGCATTTTTCACGCACAAACGGCACTTACACGGACGATATTATTGCTGCGATACTTTTTACTGTTTTGAAACACAAATATTTGTGTTCAGCTAAGTCTCCCGAATACAACAGTACCCCTCATGTACAGGTTTTATGGTGTTTTCAAAAGTTACAGCGTCAAATATAAGGCTTGCGTTTCATTTTTTTCACATTCAAATTTGCCAGATTGGTTACGTTGCCTTTGAGACCCTATGGTAGCCCAAGAATGAAAATTACCCCTATGATGGCATACCATTTGCAATAGTAGACAACCCAAGGTATTGCAAACAGGGTATGTCCAGTCTTTTTTAGTAGCCACTTAGTCACAAACACTGGCCAAAATTGGCATTTTTTGCATTTTCACACACAAACAAATACTAACGCTAACTTTGGCCAGTGTTTGTGACCAAATGGCTACTAAAAAAGACTGGACATACCCCATTTGCAATACCTTGGGTTGTCTACTATTGCAAATGGTATGCCATTATGGGTGTAAATTTCATTCCCGGGCTACTATACAGTCTCAAAGGCAACTTAACCAATCTGGCGAATTTCAATTTCAAATGTAACGTGCTATATTTGACCCTGTAACTTCCCAAAACGCCATAAAACCTGTACATAGGGGGTACTGTCTTACACGTGAGACTTTACTGAATACAAATATGTGTATTTTATTGCAGTAAAAGCAAACAGTATTATGACATTGACTGTTAAAATGTCATGTAGAACTAAAAAAATCTTATTTTCTCCCATTTTTTTCATATTAAATTATGTTTCATAGCTAAATATTTGATATTAAATGAAAGCCCTGTTTCCCCTGAATAAAATGATATATAATAAGGGTGGGTGCATTTACTATGAAAGAGTTGAATTACGGTTGGACAGACATGTAGCGCAAATGCCAGGTTTTGTTTACATTTTGTTTTGTTCACAACGTGTACATTTGGCTCTGTCCTTAAGGGGTTAAATAATGATTTTGAGCTATATAATTTTTAATGATTTCCAAATTAATTGACTGTTAAAACAGAATCTAACGTATATATTTTCTGATATTCTGGGATTTATGCACATTTAAGACTAAGCAAGATGGAGAACTGTGTTCCATCTACATTTTTTCATTTTTTTATGATTATATATGAACTTTTTTTTGATCAGTTTTTATTATCTATTTATTTATCTAGTAATATTGTCTACATGTATTTATTTATATGTATACAATTATCAGATATATTCCAAATTACCACATTGCTATATTAAACTGGGGACCCAGTTCTTTATCTGAATGTATTTTCTACTTTTTGTTATATTTTTAGCCATTACTGATTGTTGTTATTTATTTACATCTTTTATATGAGTGAAAATCCAACATGTGTGGTAAAAAAAAATAGGACAATTAAATTCCCTATTATACGCTTGAACTTTTGGACATCCATGATACTATATGCCCATAACCTCTCTATGTAAAAATCAGGAGACACCAGTAAACAAAATGGCGATATAAGAAGATGAAATGACGAACGTGCGATACGTCATTTCCGGGAATCCGGAGCAGTGAGTGAAATCAGCTGTTGACAAGACGCCCAGAGTTCTCGCAAACCGGATTGGATAAGAAACGATCGACAGGACGAATCACGGAGTGAGACACAGGTTTAAAAGGAGAAAGTGGGAAGAAAATTTGACAACTTCGATTTAGAAAGCCCTAGGAACGGGCGAAACGTGCCTTGAATGGAGCAAGTCTTATATGAGGACAATATTTTATTATTTTTTTATATTAATCTGTGTATTTCCTTTTTAATAGATTTATCCAATGGATTTTTAAAGTCCCACCAGTGGCGGATCCAGAGCCTGATCTCGGGAGGGGCACTTGTAGATTATTTAAAGAAATAATCCAGGCACAATAACCACTACAGCTCAGTGTAGTAGTTATGGTGTCAATAGTGCCGGGACCCCCTCCCAGAGTAAGTAGTCAAACCGTTTAAGAACAGTTTGACAACTTACCTGAGGTCTGCTGGGAAATGGGGCAGTAGTAGGGCATAGGAGCAGTGGTGTGTGTGAGTGGTGCAATGTGTAAGGGGTGCAGTGTGTGTGTGTGTGTGAAGGTTGTAGTGTGTGTGAGGGTGGCAGTGTATGTCAGGGATGCAGTGTATGTGTGGGACAGTATGTGTGTGTAACAGTTGCAGTGTGTGTGTGAGTATTGCAGTGTATGTGTGAGTGTGGGCAATGTGTGTGTATGGGGCGGCAGTATATGGGGGCAGTGTGTGTGTATGGGGAGCAGTGTGTGTGTATCGGGTAGTGTATGTGTGTAGAGTGTGTGTGTGTATGTGGGGGCAGGGCAGCGTCTGTGTATGGGGGCAGTGTGTGCATGGGGAGCAGTATGTGTATGGGGGGCAGTGTGTGTGCATGGGGAGCATTATATGTATGGGGAGCATTATGTGTATGGGGGGCAGTGTGTGTGTATGGGGGCAGTGTGTGTGTATGGGGGGCAGTGTGTGTGTATGGGGGGCAGTTTGTGTGTATGGGGGGCAGCGTGTGTGTGTTTGGGGGGCAGCGTGTGTGTATAGTCCACTCATTGTAAAGCGCTGCGGAATTTGATGGCACTATATAAATAATATTAATTAATAATTAGTTAGAGTTACAATGTGTGGATTGTTTGTTTATTGTAAACACCATTCCATTAGACTTCGCTGGACATAGATTGTAAAACGAGTTACACAAAGTTCTAGGGACAATGTTATCAGCTAGCCAAAGAATTTTAACCAGCTCAGTGCTGTTTCACAGAGTAATTAATTGTGATTAATTAATTCATCCAGTAACTAAATTCTTGCAGGTTTAGTTCAAACAATTCTTATCTGATAAATATTTCCTAGATTGTTATCCGATTAATATTAATCTGGGTAACTCTTGATATTCTACCTGTATTTCCTGATTTCAATTAGTCTCCCAATGTGGTGTTTGAGATACAATTTTGATCATGAGCTATCACGAAATCCAATCTGGAGGATTCCGATCAGCCTAACTACTAACTTTTAGTTATGCAATTTTGCTATAATTGGCTTATATTTACCGATAGATGTCTGCTGGATTTTGATTTGAGCAGATTGATTCAATTTTAGTGAATTTTAGTTAAAAGTTCTTCTAGAGATAGGTAGAGATAGTTTCAAAATGTCTGCTGTCAATGGTGTTTCAAGAGATTGTTCGAGTAGTATGATGAATCAATGATGTGAGAAGAAGATTCCTTATATCTCTCTGACATGGGGTTATATGTAATTCCTTATCTGTTAACCTTCTGACTTGGTCCAATGGGAATCTTGGGGCAAGTTGTATCTTAATGGCTGCCGACGTCATTTTGACATATATTTCTATATGTTTCAAACAACAGGTGGAGCTGTTGGCTTACGTCAGGAATATAACCAGCTATTATCATATAGGGTTAACTTCTTACTTAGGACAATTTAGGAATGTTTGAATTTTTCATTTTTTTTTTTTATTTAATATTTTTGTAGTGCATTGAAACAATACATACAGGCCTTAGGTGCCCCAACAGCAGTCCTCATGCTTAGCTCATGCAGTACAATTGGGGTAGTTGCAAGAACATGCACAATTTTAATATCTTGAGAACAACTTAATGATTATATCGATTAATGCCTAAAATGGTAAATATGAATAGATATGTTAACATCTGTAGCCTGTTGCGGTTTACCTCTTTTCCTTTCATTTAATGGGTCTATGCAGGCTAATCTTAGGCATATAGATTACTGTAGTCTGGAGCTGCAGTATGACAGCAATAGTAAAACATTAGTAATTAAACAGTGTTACAATGTTGTAAGATGGTGACAAAACATTCTGCCCTCGAGTCAATAGTTCTAGACCTCTTTTGCAGCCTAGCTGCAGTAGCTGCTCAATACTAGAACGATGAGTGCTCTGTGGGCTTGTGGTAGTGTCTCTTTTAACCAATGCCTTCTTATGGGAGACGGCTGGCACCCGCTGCTGGTCCTCGGGAAGCCGCTGGTGCATGGTCCTGGGGAATGTTTTAATTTTAAGATGCTTTAGTCAGCGTTTCTCTTTTCGCACTTTGGTCGTTCAAACCAAATGTGTCCTTGTTTACGTAAGCATTTTTCTATTTCAAGATTTGTAAATTGTGTAACAAATTTATTTATAGGTTATTACGTGTGTGTGTATATATGTTACTAAGCATATATTATGTTTTTTATATATCACTATATTACTATTTAAATATATATATAAACTTATAGCAATATGCGTGTGTTTGCTGAATTCTTTTTAATTAACACATAATTGTCTTATCTTTGACACTGATATTTACTCACTCTATAGCTCGTTTAGCTGAAAAGGCATAACTTGAGAAAACAGACATTTTAATTTATGTGGTGGCAGTACCTGTGGGTTGTGCCTCTTTAATTGGGACAAGCATCTGCAAGATGAGAATTAAAAGTCCCTACCCTCTATCCCCTAAAGGGCTGCCTCCGGCAAACCCATCTCAGTCGTGGCAAGTAAACACCACACAAGTCAAGTACATTTTTTTTAATTGAGAGGGAGGGAGTATTGTACTGCCACCATATCAAGAAAAAAAAAAATTAAAAGTAAAAATTATTTTTTTCTGGGATATGGTCGCAGTACAAATGGGAGATAAGATTCCCATTGGGTGGGCATTACGCCACAACTGCTTTAAGCACTTTACGCCTAAATGCAGCTTCAGAGGATGCAAATACATCTAGCCTGTAATGCCTGATGAATGTGTTTGATGACCAAGAAGCCACCTTGCAAATTTCTTTAAGCAAAGCAAGAGCCTTTTCTGCCCATGATGTGGACAATGCTCTTGTGGAATGTGCTTTAAGAGAAGTATAGGAAGGTTACTGGAAGCATAAGCCATCTTGATCGTATCAATCAACCAACGAGAGACAGAATTAGGAGAGGCTTTTTCCCCCTTTATATTTCCCTTGGATCAGATTTTATATAAAAATCGGCAGCTCTTGAAAGGTAGATCTGTAAAGTTCTTCTAACATCCAATTTATGCCATTTTTGTTCCTGTGGTGAGGTGGCATTATTGCAGAAGGAAGATAAAAACGATGGACTGATTAACAGCTCTAGAAGTGATAACCTTTCGGAATGAATAAAAGGCTTAGGATGGAGCACTACCTTATCCTGATGGAATAGAATGAATTCTTCCGATGAAGCATGAGCCTGAAGTTCATCTATTTTGGCAGAGGTGATGGCCACCTTGAGGGTTAGATTCTTCATTGGGACCTTCTCCAAAGGTTTAAAAGGAGGTTCACAGAGAGCTTGCAGGACTGAAGAAAGATCCCAGGAAGGAAAGTATGACTTCCTGGGTAGTCTCAGATGCCTTACTGCTTTGAAGAATCTCCTAATTAGAACATGCAACGCTAAATCCTTCACTAGGAAAAAAAAAAAAAACTCAAGGCAGGTAGTTTGACCTTCAAAGTGGAAACACCTAGAACTTTGTAAAAAATCCTGAAGTGTAAAATAGAATCAACCAAAGAATGCACTTGAAGACATTGATGTTCCTTACACCAATGTAGAAATTTCACCCAAATTCTCATGTACAACTTTGAGGTGGAACGTCTGGTAGATTGAAGGAGTAATTGGACCCAGTCTTCATGAAAACCCTGATTAACAGCCATGCCGTCAATCTGCACATCTGTAGAATTTCCAGAGGTAACTCCATTTTCCATCAGAGATTTCGAGAGTAGAAGTTCCCAGTACGTGGAAGCCATCTCCTTCAAGTCCGAAAAGCTCCTGTGTGGCCAGTATGCAATGATTGCTAGAACCACTGCCCTGTCTTCTTTCTTTGGAAGAATTCCTGGGATGAGTTCTTGAGATCAGCATAATGGGAGGAAAGATGAAAGCTAGGGAGAAATCCCTTTGGAGTGATAGACCGTCTATTCATTAAAGGTGATCTTTTCTGAACAGCGAGGAAGTTTGGGAGCCTTGGTGGCATCAACTCTCTTCTTGCCATAAGGTCTACGACGGGCATTCCAAGTCTCTTTATTAGAATCCCTTATGTGGACCGCTGAGATGTCTTCTAGGTGAACCTGAGCCCAGCACATAATGTCGGCGCATTGCCGAAACAAACTTTCCACTCTGGTGCCACCTTGTCTGTTGATGTAAGACAACTGTGTTGTTGTCCAACTGTATTCTTACGGGCCTCTTTTCTATCCAAGATCTGAATCTGTGAACAGCCATCAATTCTCTGTAATTTGTTGACCTGTTTGTCTTCTGTGGACCAAGTACCACGGCACATTAACGAATTTAGAGGAGCGCCCCAGCCGGAGTTCGATGCAGCTGTGGCGACGACCACCCATTCTTTAGGTCTGAAGGTCAGACCTGCCGAAAAAGAAACTTGAAGTTTTCCACCAGTTTAACCAAGCTTTCATCTGAGGAGAGAGCTGGAGACACAAATCTAAATCTTACTCTCTTTTTGACCAAGAAGAGAGGATTTCCCACTGAAGAGGTCTTATTTCTGATTTTGCACATTTGACTGCAGGAAATTGATGAGGTTAGATATCCCAGAACACTCATTGCCTGTGTTATTGAGTAATAATCGCTTTTCTGTAAATCAAACATCCAGATTGTCTTTCGTCTGTAGTCAGATGTATGCTCTTTAGCATATCTCAAATCCCAGGAATTCTATTTTTCTTGAAGGCAGAAGAAGAATCGATTATTTTAAGTTCAGTATCCAACCGTGTTCCTGAAGCACTTTGATTTTGACCCGAACCTTTTCCAACAGCAAACTTCTGGAATTTGCTTTAAGCAGACAAACATTCCCCAGAAGATAGGTCATTATTAGAAGACGACTACATTTTCCTGCCTCTATGGACCACCTCAGCAGAAACTTTGACTCTTTAAAAGAATCCAAAGTTTGAGACAGGTTATCTTGAAACCAGGACAGGAACGATTGCATATCCTTTTGTTTGGATTTTTCCAAAGATATTGCTGCACATTGATTACACACTTTTTTCCTAGGACCATGCAGTGGGGGGGAGGGGTGGAACAATCATTGCAAACTAAATGTGTAGTTTTGGATGAGGCATGTATTTAGCTTTTCAAAGTAAAGATTTAATCTTACTTCAAAAACCTCTGAGCCGTGTGGGGGGCTGGTGACATGGGAAAGCCTTTCTGATCAACATCCAGCTGCCAGAGGGAAACTGTACAGCATTTATATGCCCGTGGATTAAAATCCAGCACCATTTCCGGTTCACAGATGTGCAATGGCGTACCCAGAACTTCGGTGGAACGCAACACCACCTGGGTGTGCGTTCCACCACTGCACAGGCGAATGGCCTGTAGCGGCATGAAGGTGTGTCCTGTCCCACCCATACTCACAAAGCAGGAACATACTCGGCACAAATTTAAATACCTGAAAGATCCGGAATCTACATGGATGGAACCACGGGGCACAGTCTGCCACCCGGGCAACTAATCGGGCTTCCTCCCCCAGACATCAACCTGTGTGCCGCAATGTAGATGCTTGATCTGTCCCGTGCTGGGACAAGTAAGAACTGAGGTGGGTTTGCCGGGGGAAGCCCTTTATGGGATAAAGGGGAGGGACTTTTATTTACCTCTCATCTTGCAGATGCCTTTCCCAATTAAGGAGGCACAACCCACAGGTACTGCCACCATATGCCAAAAAAAATTAAATAAAAAAAATTGTTCTGTCTTTCTATTTTAGCACCTCATGGCATATTAGCTAAATTGCATGTATTCATTTTATCACACAATATATACGTATTTTCTTTCCTACACAATATCTGACAAACCCATTCCCTACAGTCAACTTGGACCAGTACTTGGTTTCTTGTATATAACTAACTTTAGCTACACTTCATACTAAACTTGCATGCGCTCTGCCACCAGTCCACTGCTTTTCAGTCTTGATATCGGTCACATAAAATCCTACAACTACACTGTCCTATATCTGATGTGTTTTTTTTGTTTTGTTTTTTGGAAGAGGCTATGCCACTCTCCTGGCCCATGCACATGAACTTGGGAAACACACCCTGGGATTACCTTAATTGATAAATTTATGGATCTATTCAAATGTCTCAGGTCAGGGAAAGCGAATACAAATTCATTAGCATGTGTTACCACATGCAACTTGTTAACACATGTCACATTTCCCTACAAAGCTGTAAAGGGTGGCAGGAGGTTGAGACCTGTACCCTGATTCAGTGCTTTTGCAAAACTAACAAAAATCATGTAAGCTAACAAATCTTAGTACCCATTTTCTCCCCTAATCATTAGTCATTCACCACTCATCCACACAAATCACCTTCCTCTTAATGGTTTCTCCCCTCCCTTTCTTTTGTACCAAAAGATGGAGAATCTCATTGGTCACAGAAACACAATTTTGCACATCATTTTACTTCTATAGCTTTGATTGAACCAAGAGAGGTAGAAGAATGAATGGCCTCAGCCCTAAAGGTAGTGGTTTGAGCCAGGCTGTTTTTCACCACACAGTTTAGCAGTTTCCTCTACATTTTTGAGACAAAGTTATTCAAACACGTTTTGTCATTGCCATGAGGTGTTTCCCCATGGAAGTGACAGTTTGAGTAATACGAAGAAGTAGCAATGGTTAGTTTAGATTTATTGTTAGCAGTTTACAGGAAATTAAGATGTTGGAATAAAAAAAAAAAAAAAAAGGATTACGGAGAACTTGGACTGGGATGTGAACACTGATTTGATCAAGAGGCTTTAACTTATTTTTTGTTAGCCCAGGATGCCATCCGATTATTTACGGGGGTCTTCATAAAGCGAGGAGACTTCATATATGCAGCAATAGTAGGAAGAGCCTGAAAAATGGAAGAATAATAAAATTATACTCTGTATAACATTGCGAAAAGGAAGAGAAAAGCATGCAAGGTTTACCTCAAACCGGTTCAGAAAGTCCTGCAAGTTCTGGAAGTTTTGAAGACAAGTTGGCTCTAACATCTGATGCTGGTCCAAAACATCATACACGACAAAGTCAATGAAAGTGATCTAGGAAAAGCATATAATGTCAATATAGACCTATCTAGTCAGCACCTGACACTCAATTCCGTGTAATTAGGGTATTCCATGTACCTAAAATCATACATGCAAAAGGTATGAACAAGTAATGAAAGACCTAGAACAGTGGTAGATTACCTTGTCTCCTACAAACCATTGTCTGTCCCCAAGGAATTTAGAAACACGTGCCAAGGCTGTAGGTAGTTGTTCAAGGTATGGTCCCTTGAGAGTTTCCTGGAAGAAAGATAATTGTATAGTTTGTTAAGATAATACACTTTCTGCATTTCTCATCTTTATCTTCACTTACGAATTGTGGGTTGTAGGCAAGACGCACAAGACCCATCCGAAAATCCATAAACTGGTTCTCAAGTAGGGATTCATTGATCTTATCTTTTTCAGTTTCAGCACCTGGAAAGGAGAAACATTGGTAAAGTATTGAGAACAAGCTGAAGCCAGCAATAATTAATTTCATTTACAGAGTGCATGACAAATTCACCTACCAGTGCCAGGTAAGCTTCAGCCATGACAATGATTGTGTGTGTGCACGCGTGCCTGCTATTGAGCTTGTGTGTCAGTAAGTTTGTCTGTACCAGTAAGCGTCTCTGCATCAGCGAGCTTGAGCTTTTAGGTCAATGAGCTTATGTATTTTACAAAATTGTCTGTAAGGCTGTGTATCAATGCGCTTGGGTCAGTGAGATTGTCTGTCTGCATGCGAGTATACTTGCGGTTTAATTTAACTACCCTGGAAGGAGCAATATTTTGAATTGGAAAAAATAAATATACCAATAATATGTATGGCTATGTCTTGCCGCCCCAGATGATTGAGCAATTTATAAAAACAAAAATTGTATATATGTATACATATATACACACACACACACACACACGTCACAATGATCTATGGGGCTGGTATAGATTTATTTTCCAGGGCTGCTTTGTATCCCCAGTCCGGTCCTGTCGCCACTGCTCACCTGCTACATGATAGAACCAATACATATTGCTTACCACTTCCAAAAGCAGGGTGAGAAGCCTAATTTGCATAAAGTTTATGCTCTTTAAAATAGTGGCTCACCACCTTACAATAATACAAAATCAGACACTGTTAGGTCCACTTTTAAAATTCCCAATTTGGATCCAAGGCTTTGTACTTGTTAACATAGAAACTACAACATTGTCTGATTAGCTACATGATAATAAGCCAAAACAAATCTGTTACCTTTGAGTCTTTTTTTTAATTCCAATCTTTCAGTACTGACTGCAATTAGCGATGATGAATTTAAATTCACCCCTTTAGATTTTAACCCCCACGAGAGTCATGAGCAACACATGTCCATGAGTGAGTTAAAAGGAAGATGTGCGTGTGTTTAAAGTGTATTGGTCTACAAAAAAAAGAAAGACTCTTACACAATCCATGCTTGCTTGCGATATAGCGCAGGATGGTGTTGCTCTGAGTCAGCTTGACATCGCCATCCAACAGGTATGGAAGCTGAAAAATAAGGAAAAGCAAGAAAGTTGTACAATAGCATAAATTGCATTTAGTCACCAGAATAACTACAAATGCATGTCAAAAGGAATTGGTGTTTCCCCCAACTCTGTTTAAGCCCACACACATATATACACACAAAATTTCCAAGCCGAAATCTTCTGCGTTGATATATTTAAACAGAGTTAAAGAGTCACTTACATTAGGAAAATCCAATCCCAGCTTCTCCTTTTCATCAAGCCAATGACTGCGGTCATAAGTGGGAGCTAAGGAAGTACAAGGAAAATAAAATAAAACAAAAATTCAGAGTATATGTAGAATTATAGAGCAATGCAAAACTTTTTTTTAATTCTTTATTTTTATTGTGCATTGCAAGTTTCACAGGTGTACATAGACATTGACCATGAGAGAACATAACTTGAACAATTTAATGTATGTCTGTTTCACTGCACATTTTAAAATTTAATTAAACAGGTTCACTAGGTGTCTCAGTGGGGAGGGCTAATAGGGGTTAGCAAATCAGGGTTTGCACACCAATTACCTGGCTGGCTTTAAGAATAGATATTAGTATACTGAACATTATAAGCTTGCGATTGACAGATGAAGTGTTAATACTGTAGAAAAAAAAAAAAAAAAAAACACACACTAAATCAGTTTTAAACAGTGTCGTGGTAACCTCCAGTACATATCGAACCTTCTACTGTTGAGCGCTTTAAGTTATGTTGCTAACCTTAAGTACAACCCTCGCTCATTCTGCTTGGGAGCAGAGATTGTGTGCACGATTATCTAAGCATGTAGATTACAGATATGTATGCAGGTGCTTTTTCAAAACAGTAGCTTAGCTGAAATACTTGCTTAAGTAATATACCACCAGGCAGGCTGTGGCTTACTGGGTTATCGACAGCATTAATCAGGGTATCGAGACCGACATGTACAGTAACGTCGGCTGTGACATTGGCAGCAGGTATGTCCATTTAGTGTGTACCACAGCCAGGATGTCTTCTGTTAAGACTGTCGGTGAGTCCTGCAATATGTGCCTTAAATGCCTTCCGTCATGAGGCGCTAAAAGCAGCCGTCGGCTTTCGAGATGGTGTAAATAAGCATCCTGTTCTCCGGCTTAAGAGTAATCCTCGCAGGGCGCCCCAGAGTCCATTAAGTCCAGAGGACGCTGCAGGGCAAAGTAGGTATTTGGTAGAATTGCAGGCTTCCATCTCCCCTTCTTGGCTATGTTTGTATTCCGGAGGCGGTCATGGCTTTGGCTGTGTGTTATGAAACTCAGCTTGCCCTTCGAGGCTCTTCTCTGGCGGCCTGTTAGGTGCTTCGCTGTCGGACATTTTGTTGAGGCCGCATGGTAGCTGTTTGTTGTCGGAGTTGAATCGCCCAGGAGCACTGCAGAGATGTTTATGTGCCCAGTGGGGACCAGCATAACCCGCCTCAGGCCCTGACCATCTCAACATGGCCCAGAATTATCTGATGTCGGGTGCTCCAGGACCCTGTACCATGAGCTTCCAGGATGGTCCACGCTGAGTAAGGTGGGTATTTTCCCCCTTTTAGTTGGAGCCATGGTAATCTGCAGCGCACTAGCATGGCCGCCCGGTCCCACCCCCCGCAAAACTTTAAGAAGCTAAGGAACACTTAAGAAAGAAACCTGGAGCTTCCTAGGCAGGGAGGCTGACCTGCCCAGGATGAACTTCAGCCCATCTGATCCCTGAAATGGCAGAAATTGCTGAACAATGAACTTTAAGTGTATTGAGGCTGAGGCCCTTGTCCAGTCCGGCTTGTAAAAATTCCAACACTTGCAAATTCGTGACTTCTAAGGAATGAACTTCCTTCAACCAGTCTGCAAATTTATTCCAAATCCTGTGATACGTGTGAGAGGTAGAAACTTTCCTGCAACACAGTAGACACCACCTGTTCTGGAATACCTTTAGAGATTAGGGATCACCTTTCAAGAGCCAGGCCTGAAACCTGAGTTTGTGTGGTTCTGAATGTTGAAGAGGTCCCTGAGACAACAGATCCTCTGACAGAGGTATGTCCCAAGGATTGTCTATCATTAGTCTCAATAGGGGGAACCACGGACGTCGAGCCCTAAATGGCTATCACCTTGCAGTTCTCCTTGGATATTTTCTTGAGGACCATCTGTATCAAAGGAATCAGAGGAAAGATATAAGTTCCATTTCACTGAGAGAGCATCCTGCGCCATGGCCTTGGGATGAAACCGTCTTTAGATGAAGGTTGGAACTTGGGCATTCTGTACTGTGGCCATAAGGTCGGCTTGGGGGAAGTCCCCACCGTTGGACCAATTGTTGGAATATGTTCCTGGAGAGTTGCCACTCCGTTTCCTCTACCTGTTGTCTGCTCAGGAAATCTGCGACCACATTTTCTTTCCCCGGGAGAAAGACTGCACACAGCCTTGCCAAAATTCTTCTGAGCCCAAGTCATGAGAGGTAAAATCTCTTCCCTCAGTACAGTGCTCCTGGTACACTGGTGGTTGATATAAACCGCTGCGGCTTTGTGGTCTATCCGGATTTTCACCCATCTGTTCCTCAGATGGCCTTGAAAGTAAAGGAGGACCAGAAAGGCTGCTCTTAGTTCCTGGATATTTTAGGGTAATTGATGGGCATGGTGAGGCCATGTTGCTTGAACAAACCGTCTTCTGAAATGGGCACCCCAGCCTGACTGGCTCGCATTGGTGGTTATGATCCACCAGTCTACGTTCTTTAGAGGAAACCCCCGGGATGTGTGATTCCAAGACAGCCACCACTGGAGATCCTGCTTCAGATGTCGTGGAATGAAAAGGGTAGTTTCCCATTCCTGAGAATTGGCGCTGAAGTGGTCTAGCAGGTACTTTTGAAGTGGACGGATATTCCACTGTGACCATCTGACAAAGTCTATCGTTGACGATAAGTGCCCAGTAACTTCATGAAACCCCTTGCTGGAGCCGTAGACTGTTGACGAAATTGCCGCACTCTGTGCAACAGAGTCAACTTCCTTTCGTGGGCTAAGGATTCAACAGCAGTTTTGGTTTTGAAATGAGCCCCGAGAAATATCAGCTCCCTGGAAGGATGTAGTTGACTCTTTTCTTGATTTAACAACCAGCCGAATTGGGAGGGAGAGTTTCTAGAACCAGAGACCGATGTTGAATCAACAGGTTGTATTCTGGAGCAGTTATCAAAATGTCGTCCAAGTAATGGAAGATTGTGACCCCTTGTTTTCTTAGCAAGGCTATAAATCATAACCAGGACTTTCGAAAAAGTTCTTATGCCAAAAACGGCATGGCCCGAAACTGGAAGGGATTCAAAACCGGAGAAATCTCTGATGAGGATTGGCAATCGGCATATGTTAATATGCATCCGTCAAATCTACCAAAATCATCCAGTCTCCCTGATGAATCACCGGTATGATCAATCTCAAACTCCATGCAAATAAATCCTGATTCTGAGATGGAGCTGGTATAAATCCAGAATCGGTCTCCATTTCCCTCCTGGTTGGTTTTTTTTCCCCACCTCCTTTAGGGATTCCGAGATGTGGTGTCTAACAACTCTATCTAGGTCTTCTTCGATATCCGTTACCCATACTTTCATAGCCCTTGACATGGCTGAAATGGCTACTGCTGAATGACAGCCTAGGCCCGCTGTGACAAACAACTTTGAAAAGTTGGCATCAATTCTCTTGTCCATAGGATGGACAAGAGAAGCATTACTATCAATGGGAAGAGTGGAGTGTTTAGCCACCTTTAGAACTGGTGCATCTACCTTAGGATTAGAAATCCAAAGTTTTGAAATCACTCATTAACTGGATATAGCTTTGGGAGGCGTGATTGCAAGGAGAATCTTTTCTCTGGAGTTTCCCAGTCTTCTTAAGTTCCTTAATAGATTTATGTACAGGAAACAAGACTCTTTTGCGGCTCAGATCACCAAAAAAAATAAATCTGTCTAATGCAGAGGACTCTTGTACCTCCTCTGGAATCTCCAATGTTCTCCTGACCAAGGAGATTAGATGCTCCACGGCTCTTGAGTCCAAGGGGCATTGACTGTTGGAGGCTTCCTCTTCACTGGAGGAAGTCTGTTTCAACTCCCAGGAGTCTTTAGTGCCTTGCCTCCCTTCCTCTAAAGATTCTGATCCCATCTGGATTTTGTCTGGGCCTTCTGCCTCTAGTAGATTCGGCCATTCCTTCTGCCACTGCCTGTTTTATCCAAGTGGCAATATCTTGTGCAGAGGTTGAGGCCTGGGGTGCCTGATGTTGTTCAGATTCACCCACAAGTAGGGCTAAGCACTTTCCGCAAAGCCTGCAATCCTCCAAGGGTCTTGCACCACATCCTGGGCAGGCCGCCAGCTTCTCCCTTCACCGTGATGGAGATCTATGACCCGACCGGTCTTGAGGGCTGTTGAGACAGAAGTCATAAAAAGACTGTACCCTCTGTGCACCTCTTTAATAATATTTCCAATAAATAAAAGAATGATTATTGCTCACCTATGACCTATTGCAGATGACTTGGCAAAGATGGGAGAATGGTCCATATTGATCTATGGGCGAAGTATGTAATGTATGCACCATAAATTTCTTAATGGGAAACAAATTCCCTCTCTTACCTGCAGCAGGCTAAATTTCTGGAATTGAGAAAAAATAAATAAATAAATAAATAAATAAATAAAAAAAACCACACCACCCACCGCATCCAAATCCGAGCTTGCTGTGCAGAGAAAAGCTGTAAACTTTAAAAAGCCTCAGTTTTAAATTTTCGCGCCTTTAAATCTGTGCACATGGGTGCATGGCCAAACAAGAGACCCGAACGCCATCTTTAGAACTGGCAAACTAGGGTCATTCGCGGCCGTGCTATTTGCGCATGAGCACGCCCGATACATACAAACTGCTTGCCGTTCGTGCAGTTTTTGCCTGCTAGAGGCATATACAGCCAGAAACCGGCGAAACACCTACCAGACCTTTGAATTCTGCCGAACACATACCCGGCCAAGCCTGGAAGCATAGATGTAGCAGCAGCAGGATCCAAGATGTACTGCAGAGATTAATTTCTGCAGTCTCCAGGGGTTCCCATCTACACAGAGGTGGGCTCCAGGTTAACCTGGAGCTTCCTGGGCAGGGAGGCTGACCTGCCCAGGATGAAGACTACAAATATAGTCAGATGAGCAAAAAAATAAAATAAAAAAAATCTAAGAGGACAGGAAAAAAAAAAAAAAGACTGAGGAACTGGGCTGACATACCTGTCCTCTTGATTGTTTAATTTAAGTTTTACCTGTCCTATTAACTAGAGGGAAAAGCTAACCCATAGGTAAATGCTGCCATGATTGGCCAGGAAAATGGAGTTTAGTATAGTGCTTGACTCAATTATCTCCTAATTAAAGGGGAAGGCTTAATGTATTGTATGGGGGGGGGGGAGTGTCATACATTGTAAACAGGTTATCATTGGTTTGTAAGTTTGTGCCCCTGTCCCCAACAAGGGACATGTGGGCGTACACCTTGCTTGGGGAATGGTCATAAAAGGCCAGTGTGGCACCATTAAAATTCAGTTTCTGCTTAACCCTCCACACATAGCCTGGTCTCGTGATTGTAGAGGACCTGCTATACACCTATACCACTAGCTCTTATAAGAGCTTCACAGTTATACCATCTTAGAGGAGAGGCCTTGCCACTGAGTCCCTAGATCCAGGAGTTTGGTTTAGGATGGCGAAACCCCAACTAAGCTGCAGCGATTCGTGGGGTCTATGGTGCGGTGCTTACGGTCCTCAGCAAGGAAGCATCGATTGGCGGAGGTACCCAGTCAGGTGCCAGGCGTCCCATCACCGGGATCATAAAAATGATCAAGCATAAGGAACATGCCTAGTATGTTGCAGTGGTTATGGTATCAGGAATGGCTGGCAGTTTCCCAGGGTAAGTAGTCAAGCTTGGAGTATGCTTGTCATCTTACTCTGTGTCCCTGAAAACTACTGCATTGAGCCAAGCCATTCTGTGCTTTATGCTCTAGGACAGCAATCATTTCAATATTCATAATGTTTTATTCCAAATACACACCCAAAAAAAAATAAAAAATAAATGATATTTTGCACACTCTCCCAAATCTTTATCCACATGTAAATAACAGGTTTTAGCACAACTAACATGCTCAGACAATAAGCAGTCTTAGCTTAGTAGAGCCAATGGAAGCACCTTGCATAACTTCTGGCTCCACAGGAAATGGCAGGCAGCTGGCACCATAACTGGGTGTAGCACTTATGGTGCTTGAATCGCGTTAAAAATCAGTTTTTTAGTGCTACTGCAAGTCATTAAAGTGTGAGTTTAAGTTTACCAGGTGAGGCCTGACTGTCAACATAGACAGCCGAATCTTGGTGTAGCTCCCTAAGCTTTGGCAGATACCGCTAATTTAGACTCAGCTCACATTGCAGGCGCTTGGACACGTGGGAGTATTTGCTTGTGTACCAGGGGGATATCCCTACCTGCTGATCACAACTTCGAAAAAGCAGGACTTTCTGGAGCCCCTGACCCTGATACTGTGGTAGAAGCTACAGGATGTTTAAGTAAAGTTCAGAACTCACATGGTTAAAACTACTGTGCAACTATCTTGGGCCAGGGCACATGTGTGGAATGTCAGGAACACCCACTACTAGATAAAGTAAGAGACAAGTTTTAGTTTAAAAGTTGGAGGCAACTATAGTAATGAAGGTGTAAATTTCATATTCTCTGTATACCTATGGAATACGTCATTTGTGGTATATATTCTTTGTTCTCTTGTAAAACGTGTGCTCAGTCGAGTATTCCAAGTCTATTGTCTGACAGACCTTTGCAGCTGCAAAACAATAAATAGCCTTTGTTCTTCAACGAACTGTCTGGAGTTTCCTGGTTTCATCTCTGACCCGATAATTATTTCACAATACCAGGAGTTGAAGGATCTGTGGACCAGCATTGCCAAATTATTGCACTTTACTTCTTCACTGGCAAATATTTGTGGATGCCTCAGCCTTCTGTGCTTCTTTTCTTCTTGACACAGCTCATACCTGCAACTGGGCTCTGGTGCCAAAAGCGTTCTCAGCAGTATCTTCTGCCTTTACATGGTATGGGCTATGGGAACGGAATTCTAGCATTGTGGCAATTACCCAATCCACTTGACTAGAGTCTCTGCAATTACACTTACAGATGCCCCCCTGCTGATCTACCGTGCATAAATTATTAAGTTTGGCACTCATGATTATCTCAATAACATCATAGGTAGCTGATCTTGGTTTCTGCCAGGTGCCTCCCGGGTGGTTAGTTTAATTTAGCTGGTTATGCATCTGTCCTACCTCATCTATTTTATGCTGGCTAATCATTACCAAGGATTAGAACCTACTCTGTTTTATCCACTTTACTAGCTCAATCCTTATCCATGGAGGTCTACCGTGTAAAGGTTGGTTTCCAACATAAAACAGATGCAGCATTCTCCACATGTTTGGGTTTGTATCTGTCAATATTTTTGTTTTACATCAACTTGTAGACATGTCAATCAGTGCCTGTATGTTTAATACTGTGTGACATAAATAAAGTATGTCAAAAAAAAAAAAAAAAAAAGTCCCCACACTAAGAATTTACCTTGATACTTTTAATCTTGCTAAAAAAGTCCTAAAAGTCTGTAGCAAGACAGAAGAGGGTATGCTTATGAATACCTTTAAACTAATAAACCCTCCCTCCCACCCAAAAAAAAATAAAATCTCACCGACATTCCAACACAGTCGAGAGAGATATACTAAGACAAAGTAGGGACTACTTTCTGTCTTAATATATTCCCTATGGCTAACATAACTTGACAAAGGACAGCCATAAGTTTGCGATTTCCCCCAGCCATTCATGTAAAGGTCAGGTTTAGTCAAGAGGAGAAAAAAAAAAAAAAAAATCCCCCACACACCACACCCAACACACACATCCCCCTCACTTTCCTCTGTGGCATTAAAATAGTATAAACACTATTCCCATGTGATCTAAAGGGGGTCTGGTCACCTAAACACACACAAAACCATTATTTGTTATAATGCAATTTCATCCAACCCAGCCTCCCTACTTTTTGGAAGGTGGAGCGGATTGGTTTTCCCTGTGGGCATCTGACTAGGGTACAGAGAAGAAAGCCGGCTGCGCGTTCTGTAGGCAGGCGGCGAGGGAGCTGTGTTCTTCCTGCTCTGCTGCCTTGTGCAGCAGAGCAGGGAGATCACAGCTCCCTCGCTGCCTGCCTACAGAATGTGCAGTCAGCAGGCCACCACCCACCTTGGCGGGAACAGGCTCACAAATGCTAGACTAAAATTACTGATCACCATAGCAACCTGGCACCTAGGATTTGTTGAGCTCTGACCTACCAAAACAGTATTTTTATATATATGTAGAAAGGCCATTAGGCCTGAATTTGTGGGAGGAGTAAGTCCCCTACTTAAACTCCCAGCCCCTACTCACCGCTGCGGCTCAGCTGATTGTCCAGCACTTCCGGTCCAGCTTTCCGCCAGAACTGTTCCTGTTTCCAGCAGTCAGACGTCCTGATCAATCCTCCATCCGTTCGAGGTCCTTCCACTCGGTTTTTCCCCGGTCGAGGTACCCGACTTCCGGTCACGAGACCGGCACGTTCACGTAAGCTAGGCAAGGGAATAAGCGTTCGCTATTCCCCGCCGTTCGGGCCTAAAAACTTAGGGGTAGGCGCCCTCTATCGCATTTACATGAGTACATGCTCTTCAGCTAAAGTTTCCGTTCGCGCCAAAACGCACGAACGTTCGGCTCATTTTACTATTGTTTAACTATAGATTCGGTAGTTTCCGTACGAATATGTTTAAAGTATTAAGCTCATTATTATCTGTATTCCTTTTTCCGTTCGGTCACTCAGTACCAACCTATTTTGTACGGTTAATACACGAACACCATCTTACTAATCCATATTCGGCTATATTTCTATTCTAACAAGCTAAAGTATGCACAAATTCTAATCACACGAATCCTACTACATTTTTCGTATATTCCTTGTTCGGTCAGATTATTACTAATACCTTCACATCAGTATGGGGTTATACTATCTGGTTTAACTACCAGCCTTGTGTTTTTCCTACCTATGCTAACCGATTAACGTATTATACTGTAATAAACATACTGTTTTAACCATGGTACATACCTTCATACGTGACTAATACAAGCAATACCATTTTTCTAAAAACACTCAGATATAAGTAATTTAAACACTACGTGCCAGAAATACCCATTACACCAACATCCGTACTATTCCTTTCACATAAATCACGCTGTCACATATTTTGGCTTTTACAGATTGCATCGGTCTCTTGCTTTTCTGCGCTAAAGTTGTTATTTCAAGGTCCTTTATTACAGGAACAGGTATTGTATCTTATCACTTTGAGTTATCAGGTTTTATCACTTACCTTCACATCTGTCGCTAAATATGGAAATTGTCTTTGGTTAAACCCTTAGATCCTGTATTATTCTAAACTTCCACCGATTCAACGCAGTTAACCTGCCTCGCTTAAACGTAATCTCTGTACTTCAAAACCAAGGTATAGTTCACTCTCTTTTCCATACTAGACCTCACACGGTCTCAATTCCATTACTACCTTTTCTCAGGCTTACGCCCACAATACGTTATCTCTTTACTATTTGTCTACACAGACATTCGGTCGTACGGCCATCAGGCTCAGAAAACACCAAAACCTGACCCGGTACTCAGCCATACCTTCAGGTACTTACGTCCTTACTCAAGTACGTCCATTCGCTACCCCAAGGCCTCATTCTACCTTCTCACAAATATCTAAAATCATCCCATTCTTACACCTAACCTTCCAGATCCCTCAATGCAGGATCTCACATTGCGCCCCTAACAAACCAATTCCCAATACTAATCATACGACATCACGATACACATAAATACATCAACATCTGTCTTAAATCCTCAGGATTTTTCCTCAAGGACAGCAATAAGACAAGACTCTCTACACTTATTACCACCAAGAGGCTCCAGATACCATTTGCGACCAGTCAAGGTTAGCATCCACACACCACTCCAGTCCTCTCACTTTACCCTTAAGCATACAATCGAACTGACTACAGGGCCCAGGCTAATGCCGTAGCCCACCCTATCAGGAAATCCGACCCCGCGAGGCCTACCACCCCCACCCCACCTCAACACGGAGGTATGGCCCCACGCCCAATTCATAGTTATAAGCCTCTCATGCCCTACTACAGGGCTCTAGTTAGGGCCTCACCTGTCACGGCCACACGTTTTGATTTCTCTTTACCGTCACCGAGAGGCCAACATCCCGCCACCACGTCTGTGGCAGCTACGTCATAAGCCAAATCATAGGTAGAGCCTCTCACCGCCACTTGGCATTAGCAGGGCCTCACCTATCCAGTCATTCAACAGTTAAGTTTTTCGCTTCGGCATCTAGCATTACAGTCCAGTTCTTCCAAATACACCACCCCCCATACCCCTCCTACTTACCTCACTCCCCCTCCAATATATCTTTCACATAATCATTCCTTTTTAGAATGTACCAAGAACCAATTCCAACCGAAGAATTGACAGAAGAAAACACCATTCACGCCAATCAGACCTGGGTCTCCAGGCGAATCACTCACCCTTTCAACCCCCACGTCCTTGAGAGCATGGCCTATTCCCAAAATCACGACCGAGCTTAGGCTCAGGGGAATCCCTTTCCGGCCACAGCTAGAAAGTCAGAACTTTATAGGCTGCTTACCCAACAAGCCCCCGAGCCTAGGCCTGGAACTAGCTCTCAAGGACAACCACCAAGAAACAGCACGGCCACCCAGGATACCCTGGCAGATATCTTGGCCAATCTACAGACCCTCAATAGCAGGCTAAGGTGGAGAGCGCCATCTCCTCCTCAGGTACTAACACCGAAGTCCCAGTCTCTACCACGGCTGTACCTGCTATACCAACATGCCCCCCTATAGCCATCACACCATTCGAGTCACCAGCACACTCCGTCCCAGACTCTATCAGGAAAGATATCCTAGACGGGAAGGATGCGTGTCTGGTGTCTTTACTCATAGCCTCTCGGGATATACTCGAGAATAAGGCATACAACTATGGTGACATTTCAGTCGTGCTCAAAACGAGGGATCCCAGGCTCAATAAAAAAAATAAAAAAAATAAAAAAAATAGTCTATCCCCCAGTTCGTGATAGCTTTCGGGATATACCGCGACGTCATTTGCACGGTGTATCCCCACAGGAGAGAAAAGCTAGATCTCTAGCTCCACAAGGTAGTGGATCTAGGCATCAAGTACGGGGGCTCTTCCTTCTACGACTACCACAAGTCAGTTTCAGCGAAGGCGGCAACCCATCTCAAGCAGTTCAACATTAGAATGAACTGGGGTCAGATGGACACAGAACTTTTCTGTCACCACTTCGCTGGACTCAAGCCCCCGGCTTGTGCCATTTGTAATTCTGCATCCCACATGGCGGACTTATGTCCCGTCGAATCAGATCCCACCACCTCCACTCCCACCCGTCACCCCACGTTCACACCTCACTCCACTTTCACCCCTCACAACAAGCCAGCGGGTGGTCTTCGTGATAAGCTGGGTAGGCCCATCTCCTTTTTAGGTAAGGCGCAGGTGTGCAATAATTTCAACGCAGGCTCCTGCAGTTTCAGCGCCTGTAGATTATTGCACATCTGCTCTATATGTTTCAGGGCACATACCAAGACCATGTGTCCAGCCAGGTTGTCACCAAACAAATGACTAATCGACATAAATATTGACAACCTGGTTTTTTATCTAAGGTCTCACCCCAGCAGGCACTTGGTGGATTTTCTCACCACAGGTTTCTCACAAGGGTTTCACACAGGCATAGTAGCCATTCCCCCAGGTACACTAGAATGTCCTAATCTCCAGTCAGCATGTTTAGACCCAGTCGCTATAGACACTCATTTCCTCAGAAACCACTAACGGTTTCATGATCGGACCCTTCACCTCTTCACCGTTTTCCTCCTGGCGCACTAACCCTATTGGTATTGCTATTCACAAATATTCTAATAAAAAAACATCTTATCGATTTAATCGGCATCGCACTCCTCTTTTGTTCCAAGCATAAACGCACTCATTCCAGCAGATGAATTCTCACTTCAGTATGTTACCATCGACGACACCATACAGTCCATCATATCATCTGGTAATCGACCCTGGCTCAGCAAAACAGACATCACAAGCGCGTTTAAATTACTGCCCATACACCCCTCACTCTGGCACTTACACAGTGTTAAATGGCGAGGGAATTATTACTTCTCAACAGGACTCACTTTCGGTTCTCGAAGCAGCCCCAAACTTTTTGACATTTTCGCAGAGTCACTAAGCTGGCTGCTTCTGAACGTCATCAGGTGTCACTCCGTTATTCACTATCTAGACGACTTTCTACAGATAGAGCCAGGGTCATCAACACCCTCAGCAATCAAAAGTACTACCGCACTATTTTCCACACTTGGAGTCCCTTTGTCCCCAGCCAAAACTTTAGGACCCACAACAAAGTTGACCTTTTTAGGCATAGAGCTCGACTCTGTCAAACTCAGAGCTAGCCTTCCCCACGACAAACTATCACGATTGAGAGGGGAGATAGACATGTTCCTGCGGAACGATGTTTGCACCAGGAGAGAACTTCAGTCCCTTCTTGGATCTCTGAACTTCGCCATGCGCATCATTCCGCAGGGAATGTCTTTCATATCCAGACTTCTTTGTCTGCTCCACGGAGTCCCGGACTCCGGCACAGTTTCTTTGGACCCCCACGCCAAGGCTGACTTAGCTATGTGGGGGAAGTTTTTGAAAAACTGGAATGGTATCTCCATGTTTATCCCCCCTCTCTCCACCCATCATCCACACAGATGCAGCAGCCAACACCGGTTTCGCAGCCATTTTTGGGAACCACTGGTTTAGGGGCCACTGGCCCACTGAGACGGATGCCTTGCCAGGATTCAGGGAGACCTCAGCCCTATTTGAAATTTACCCAATTGTGGCAGCCGCACACACCTGGGGTCATCTCTGGTCCGGCAAGGTAGTAAAATGCTACTCAGATAACTCGGCAGCTTGCGAAATCGTTAACAAAGGGCGCTCATCATCTCTGACCATCATGCGGCTGATTCGCAAGTTGACCTGGCTGGCAGCATCGGTCAGTTTCACTTAGTATGCTCTCACATCCCGGGTATTCACAACACGGCCGCTGACGCTCTCTCGTTCTCAATTCCAGGCATTTTCTCAGGCACTCAACGGCTCACCAAGAGCCATCCAGGACACCACGGTTTCACGAACTAATCTTGGATTAAGCACACTCTTGCTTCACGCTAGATCACTCACTCACCAAGCATTATCACCCAACACTGCTACCACTTACAATAGGGCACTTAACATATTTAACAAATTCACTGCAGAATTCGGTCTACAAGGTGACTTTTCTATCCAAACCATGGTGACTTGCCTCTTTCTGCCACCTACACCTTAAACTGTCGCACAACACCATTAAACTTTACCTCACCGTGGTTCAGCACCACAGCCTCACCAATTTTCCTAACAGAACTCCCTTTTTGTCATCATACCCCATTAAAAAGGTCTTGAAAGGTATGTCAAAGGTTTCACCTCCACTCGCAAGCACTAGATTACCTATAGACGGGCCTATCTTCAGGTCACTTAGCAATCTCCTTGACACAGCCCCATTCGATAGCAACACCAATACTGTGATCAAATCTGAGATAGAGATATATAGATATCGCTTTCTATGGTTCTCTCAGACCTAGAGAGTTCACCGTGGTTTGTCAAGGAGATATCGCGCTAAGCCTTAAAACTTCACACCTCACCAAGATAGAGGATCACTACCTACTTTCTATCCCTACCACTAAAACCAACCGGACACTACACCCTACAATAATGCCTGGTGTCCGGTGAAGGTTCTAGACCAACTACGGTCAACTCTTCACGCTCACCTGCCAGACTCTCCGCTCTTAACATTACAAGGGCACCCGCTTACCACGGCAAAATTGATGTTACATGTCAGAACCCTGTTATCTAAGCTCGGAAACAACCCGGCTGCATTCTCCGGGCCTTCCGTATAAGAGCCACCTCAGCAGCCTCTAGCACAAACGCACCGGTCCACATCATCAAAAGGCTGGGGCGATGGAAATCCTCCATATATAATGCATATATTCCGCAACCGGAGAAAGAGCTTTGCCAAGCTTTCAGGAACTTGGTCTTGTAAAATGCAATAAAGTTATTATTTTCTAGAATTTATATTTTGCCCTCTTTTATTTACAGGCCCACTTGTATGTTGGTTTCATCACACCACAACCAACTTTGCTCACAGATACTATCCATTACGTATTTAAATTCCGAGCACAAGTAGAAAGGCCATTAGGCCTGAATTTGTGGGAGGAGTAAGTCCCCTACTTAAACTCCCAGCCCCTACTCACCGCTGCGGCTCAGCTGATTGTAGTTAAAACAGGGTGTAGGTGGGTGGGGACATTCTCCTTGGTGGGCCCTCTTATTTACAGGCCCACTCGTACGTTGGTTTCGGCACACCACAACCAACTTTGCTCACAGATACTATCCATTACGTATTTAAATTCCGAGCACAAATATATATTTTATTTGGGAAGTAGAGTGTCCCTTTAACAACCTGGCATAAGAGTTCTGCATTGGCTTCCATTACAAATTTAGACTAATCTGTCTCTAGATGCCATAATACACACGGAGAAGAATCGTGGCAACACGCTAATAGCACAATTAGTTCTGCTCACCAACAGAATCATACACAGGGTGATTGAAGAAAACTACAAAGACATGGTCACACTGGGAACATTCCAGTATAAATCCCCCACAAAATTAGTTTGGAGCCAGCTAAATGGAGCTTAGTGCAGAAACATTACCCTGAATGTGCCCCCCTTAGAGTACAAAATAACACATTCATTCACAGTGCAATACAGGGCTGCAGCTGGTGAAAGTGCTCAGACATTCCCCCCCAAAAAACAGTCAGAGCAATTAAAAAAAAAAAAAAAAAAATATTTCTCTCTCTCCCCTTCCTTCAGCTGACAAAGAATGGAGATATGGACATTTACAAAGCATGTGTTTGTTTCTTAGAGCAGGACTGGTTCTCTAGGATTTACATCCTGCCAATGGATGTAAACTCGTTTAAGCATGGCCTTCACCAACCCTATTGTTCCTGTAACATCTTGTAATTATCATCTCATTTATTTTTAAAATTTTCCCCTTTTATAAAATTGTAAAGCACTGCGGAATAGGTGCTATATAGATGCCAAAAATAATCTCAGCCAACGCAATGCTTGCCCATAGGAAAGCATTGAAGGATATTGCGCATGCACAGCAAAACACCACACCAATCAGCATCTCCTCAAAGACACACTGTGCATCACTGGACTAGGAAGCACCTCTAGTAGTCTGAGTTACTGCCACTAGAGCAGTTACCAAGCAATGTTTACATTAAAAAGTCTGCAGAAACAGACGACACACCAGAACCACTTGCCATGCATGACACTCGAGGCACAAGCTCTGGCCTATCAGGAGTCCCAGTTGGACGTGGATATCTGCTAGTTTAAACCAAGCGGTGATTGCAGGCTGTGATGGATAATCCTCAACTTACGCATTGCAGCACTTGCAGGAAGTTATACAAGATCACTTCCTCCCAGACCATGTGAACAGGAATCTGCACTGGATGTAAGCAGCCCGCTGCCTCTATCGCAGCTCCTGAACTGGAACCATACCTGGCCAGCCCAGTCCCTAGTGGACCCCAGGGAAGCCACCCACACTGCTAGATATACACAGAGCCGCAAAATAAACCCCCCCCTCATACAAATAGACACACACACACACCTCTCTACTGACAATCTGCATACACACACACACACACACACACAAACATAGCCCCACAAGCAGCCTGACACATACACACTTCCACAAGCAGCTCACATTCATAAGTATAATTCACAATACCACAAACGTATACAATATAAAACAGCCCACATACACAAAAATGTGTTACAAAGCAACTGCATCACCCATAAATAACATGCAGAATATGGTAACATACACACCTCAATTTAAATGAACAGGCACTCAAAGATTGTGTTTTGGCACAGTACTACTATATAGGTTGCCTATCCCTGCACTACATTAAAGCTGTAGGGGCTCTGGTGCATATAGTTTCCCATTAAGAATAAAAGAAAGCCACCTGCCAAATACATAGAGTGGTCTCCCTTACATGTAGTGATGCAGAGCATTATATGCATACTTTACAATAATAGAGGGTCAGGAACAGAATATTTTTTGGAGTGCGAGTATTGAAAGTCCAAAATAATTCTTTAAAACTCCAAACCGACCAGTATCAGAATAAAAGTTTATTAAAAGGGGTGGATGAAACAAATGGCACAAACACCATGTTCCTTACATTGCAAGTGTGCAGACAACAGGGACATCAAAAAGCTTTTTATAGAATGCAAGAAAATATGTAGCCATAGACACAATGAATGACATCACCCCTCCCTTCACAGCTAGCATTCCCCCAGACATAGACAGACATGCATTAACGCTACACCCTCCCCCAAACCTGCCCTAGTTCTTCCTGTGCCCAGACACTCACCATCTCCCACCACATAGTGCTTGTCTTCAAATGGGGTCTCCGTGTACTCCAGCAGGAGGCGGATAGAATGAGCCAGCTGCAAAAAGAAGTAAAAGCAAGCAATCAGTATATGTCCTGGTCACACGCAGCCGCCATTACCAGCATGTGCAGGCTCACTCACCCCTCTGATATCCCAATATCCCAGGATCATCATGCTTAATTCAGACCAACACACAGTACACTAGACTTGCACTACTGATAATATACTCTGACTGCTCAGAGTCCTTAGCAGGTCATGTGATCTATATGCTCAGAGCCAATCAGGGAATGGAAAGCCCCAGCCCAGACCTCACACACCCACCTCCCTCCCTTCACTGCTGTTTTTCTCAAGTCAATTAAAGAGACAGCACAAACTGAGAGGTGGTTAGTGGTCTGGATTCTAAATGTAATACTAACAGGGTTATTCACTGAAGTGAGAATTCAAGGTGAATTTTAAAGACTGTGGTCGAATGGGAAGTATAGCTGTTTAACTTTGACCTTACATGTGAAATAAACTTTGTACTTACTTTGAATTCTCACTTTAGTTAATAGCCCTATGCTTTCAGAACAGCTACTGTGGCCTTAAATTTGAAATTCACTTTTAATTCTTCCTTTAGTAAATAACCCTTTTGATTCTAGCTTTACAATTAAATATAGCATACAATGAAGAAGAAACAATATATGCATAAAGCACGATCTGCATTTCAGTTCACAGCCAGTATAAATTGACATTACAGTTTAAAGTAAAAAAAAAAAAAGGGAATTGGGGGCACACCCAGAACATGCATTTCTATTTAGTGGTGCTGCCGTAAAGACCAAAACATATACAAAATACAGATAAAGGAACAGCGTGAACACACACACAAAAAAAAATAAATAAAATACAGATTTACATTTTACAAGGCTACATGCAATCACCTATCTTAGCAAACAAATTTGGGGATTCAGTTACTAGCACGCATGTGCAGCACAGGATCCAGCTGATTCCCCTCACCGGAAGTGACGGGGGTATGGAAATCTGACGGGGTATAGCACAATGATAGATCAACGGCATATCGTGTTAAGTCTTAGCCCACCAAGGTGGCATCGCTATGGGGGGGCCATGACCCCCCTAGGTCAGGCTGTACTCCCACCCCCCCAATTTAAATCCAAGGTAAACTTATATGGCCAGGCTGGGCCAGCCAGCACCGCTGTTTTTATCAGGGAAGTTCTGACAGCCGCGAGGTGAGAGTCTCACCTCTCCGTCAGAACTTC